CCCCCCCCCCCATTTCTTTTTCGTTTCCGTCCGTTGGTCGGTTAGGAGTGATGGGTCGCCCACGGCTGTGTGACACGTGGCATGTGCGGAGCTATGTATATTGTACGAGTAAGCATCCCGTCAGACCTCATCAGAGCGTAGATAGACATCCTTTTTGATGGACACAGAAATTCGCTGGACTTTACTCGCTGACAATTTCTTGTTCACTCGTATAACCATGTGAGATTAGCATACATGTATTTCCTCACGGCAATGTATTCCTTTCTGCCGAGACAATGCCCAAAACTATGTTTCCGATGTTCTCGGCATGTGTGACTCGTTCGTTCACTTGCCGAGCGAGATGTGCGTACTACCCCAATCAATTCGTGGAGTGAAGACTTAACATGTTTCGATGTTCCCGACATTTTGTTTTGGCTTCTTGCCGAGCAGGCTTCTAAGCGCGCCATGAGAAGCCACGGGGACACCGACTGCGGATCCGATGGAGAAGCCGATCGAGCGGGGGGAGAGGAGGAAGAGGAGGGAGGCTACATGTCTGGAGCGGAGTCGGACAGCGGACTGGTGGACACTCGGCAGAGCATGAACCTCGTCGTCCGTAACCTGCAGGTGAACAAGGATGCTGTACAGGAGTAGGTGTGAACAGCGTTGAGGACAGGCGTTCGGAATCGGCACGCTGGAAACTGGAACCAGCATGCGGCCTCGCTACACTAGAGAATGGGATACAGCCGGAGCATGCTGCAGCCCCGCAACGCGAGCCTCGGGTGGTAGCCCCCGTGCTAAGAACGCCACATTGTTGATGTCGTTGTTGTTGTTGTTGTTTCTCACATTAGCTCTATAGTGCACAAAAATGCGGAGCCCGTGGTCTCAAAACCCGGCACATACGACGCCGCGGGGAAACAAAAACAGCAACAGGGTACAAACCACTCGGAGAAAGAAAATAAGATGATAGGAAGCAAGGAACAGCTACCGCACCGACCAGTCGAGAAATGAGCCCTCGGATCCCGATCAAAATAAAACAACGACAAAAATATTGTATCCTAGGTAAACTCAGTCTTGCATTTTATTTGCTTTCTTGTTCAATAATGCCTTTGGGTCTTCCCTCTATGCATCGTGTGCGTGTGGGCGATGGTTCTTTATTTTTTTCACGTCCTCATTTTGTTAAAAAAAATATTTGATACTGCCTGCAGGAGGACAACGCCGCCCTCAAGACGAAGCTCAAGGCCACGCTCTCCAGCAAGAAGAAGGATGCTGTCCAAGGCCACCAGGTGATTGGCACGCGTTTGATGGATCGGCTGGCTGTGTGCATGGGCCGGCGGTGGTTGTTGTAGAATCGTGGACGGTGCTATTATGCGCGAGATTTAGGGAGTGTCAGCTAACGACGTGGGCCCCTGTAGGGTGGATGATGGCCTGTTGCTTTTGTTGTTTTTGTTGCTGTTTCTGACATTTCCTGATGTCCTGTCCACCCAAAGGATGTGCCCTCCCGGTGATCTTCGAGCTCGGGGGTACACACATCAGTGTTTTTTGTTCGGAAGCCGTTAAGCAGCAGGACATCAGTGACTCTTGCCGTCGCCTTCACACCAACGTTGTCCGTCCGTCCTCCTGGCGTGGAGCTTGCACCGTGCTGGCCCAATCGTTGCGACAAACCTGACACACCAACCTGAGAACAATATACTCATCTTGGTTTTTGATGATAAACATGCAGTGCCGGCTGCGATGTAAGATGAAGTGCTGTGTAAGAGAATGATGTCGGCTTGTCACGTCTTTTCGTTTATCGTAGCCGCCGGCACTGTACAATCAATTAAAGACTGATCGTTCGAGATATAAGCACAGTCGAACGGGGGGGGGGGGGGGGGGGGG